CCATGGATAAGCTAATCGAACAAGGCAAGGAGATGGGCTTGGAGGGGGAAAACCTCCTGAAGTTTGTGATGGCCCAGCAGGCTATAGAAAGAGATGAACGGGCCAAGGAAAGAAAGGCTCAGAGGGAGAATGAGGCTAAGGAGAAAGAGGCTCAAAGAAGACATGAGCTGGAGATAGAAGAGCTGAAGGTACGGCAGGCGGAAATCGAGTACCATAAAGCCAAGAAAGAAGGTACAGGAGACGTCAAGGCTAAGACGCCGAGACTACCCAGCTTCATGGAAGGCGAAGAAATAGATGGGTACCTCTTGAGGTTTGAGAGGTTTGCCCGTGCCAACCACTGGGCGGAAGACACGTGGGCGTCTCTACTGAGTGACCTACTCACGGGGAGGGCACTGGATGTGTACAGCAGGCTATCTGATGACGATGCCCAGGATTACGATAAGGTGAAGGAAGCCATTCTTAAGAGGTATGAACTTACCGAAGACGGTTTCAAGAAAAAGTTCCGGTCTGAAGTTCCCCAGGAGGGGGAAGGGCCGGACCAGTACATTGTACGCCTCAGCAGTTACCTGAACAGGTGGATCGAGCTGTCTAGCACCCCCAAGACGTACGAGGGAATCTGTGACCTGATCGTTCAGGAACAATTCCTTGATCTGTGCCCCTTAGATCTGTCGATTCACCTACGAGAGAGGAAACCAAAGTCCTTGGAGGAGTTGGGGAGGATGAGCGACCAGTATCTGACGGCTCACGAGACGAGCCTGGCTGAAGGTGTCCGTCCACGCAACTCGTCAAGATCTGAGGGCGAGCCTGGCCGGAAGAGCGGTCAAGGTGGCTCCGGGGAGCCTGGGGGAGGCTTCCGTAAGACCTGTTACCACTGTCGTGAAACAGGGCACGTGAAAGCTGATTGCCCTAGTTTGGGGAAAGGGTTCTCCAAGAAGAATGTGGTGGCACAGAGTATGTTCGCGCAGGGAGCAGACAAGCCCTGGGACGCGGATGGAAACTTGGCGGAAGACAGCAAGTACAGCTGCACTGGAGCTGTGAACGGCCAGCAAGTACAGGTGTACAGGGACACTGGGAGCTCCAGGACCTTTGTCAACAAGAACTTGGTGCCGAGGAAGGCATACACTGAAGATGCCATTAAAGTCAGACTGGCCAATGGGGCTGTTGACAGCGTGCCTACAGCCAGAGTTGAGCTGGAAGTAGATGGTAACGCGAGAGAGGTAGAAGTAGGGGTGATGAACACACCCTACCCGGTGTTGCTAGGCAACGACTACGGGGCGGCCTGCGTCGGAAGTAGGGCAGGTCCGGTAACAACTCGGGAGATCAAGAGTGAGTTGGGGGAGGACAAGAGGCACCTTGGGCGTGGTGAGAAGATGGAGTCAGCGGTGCCACGATATCACATTCCAGCGAGACGCCAGCAAGGTGGCCAAGTCGCGTATCCTCCGAAGGCAAAGGTGAGGAGCGAGAGTATCATAAAACAGAGGATACAGAAGCTCATGGAGGAGGATCCGGTTTACCGGAGGGGTCGGCTGCGTTGGTTGCGGAGGCAGCACCAACTAAAGAAGGCGGCAGGAAAACGCACCAAGCAGGAGTATGGTGTGAAATAAGTTTCAGAGCATGCCATGGCTGACCAGGTGAAGTACCGGAGTAGAAGTGTATTGTAACAGAGTAGTGTTTTAAGGTAGCTGATTCCCCTGTTAGTAGTATTAGTAGTAGTGAGCATGTTGTCAGATGACGAAACAATGTTTCACATGTTTATCATCCTGGGGGAGGTGTTACATGCTAGAGAAAATTGCAAGCCAGTGGGTCTATACCCTCCCCTGATAAGTAACGGTTAAGCCCGAAATGGAATATCGAGGTCAGGAAGGGGTAGTCAGTCTCAGGGTTCCAGAGAGGTGGGACGTGAAAATAAAGCCTGGCAACTTGCAACCTGAGTCTCCGCTTCTTCAATCGGAAAAGAACAGGCGCATTCCATATTCCGTCACTTAACATGACAACATACAAGCATCCCTCCCGAGCAGTCAACGTACCACCTCGTCTTACATCTGAGAAAACCGACGAGGGATGTGATCTTAAATAAATTTTTAGAGATGTGGTGTGCATCTGTATACATGGCCGGTATATGCGCCATTCGGCTATCTCACACTATTGTCTTGTGGCACCCAAACCATGTGCACACATCCCAGCTCAAGGAAATTTCATGATTTTTTCTCTCATAAGAACAGAATAGAAGTGTGTATACATGCAGTTAATACATTATCATCAAAGTCACAGCCATGTAATCTGCAGGGTCCATTTGAAACAAGCGTGTTTTACCTTATCCCTGGCCGTCACGTCTGCCCCATGACGAATCAGAAGCTCACAAGTCCCGGGGTGGCCCACGCGAGCAGCCCAATGCAAAGGTGTGTTCTGGTCCTGTACAGGGGGGAAGGTCAGGGTCAGTAGGGATGGGTTCAACACGGAAAACAGGTATCACGTGGATAAGCTACAGTATGGGCTACATGTTAAAGTTGTGTTAAAGAGGTTATAACCTGCTTGGTTGTGTACACCAACAAAAGTTCCTGAAACTCCTGTAATGGATCTCTCATATCATACCTGATCTGATCAGGTGTACTGATTGTTGTATTGACTTTATGCCACATTTATGCCTGTTTTCTGTATTATCTCCTTAGATACATGTATGTCTATTTATACCGTACGTCCGTACCTAATGAGTACCTATTATAAATCAGCTAATGTTTGTATAATTGTCTCTGTACCATATTCATGTAATCTGTAGGGTCCATTTAAAACAGGTGTGTATTACCCAACCCCTGGCCGTCACGTCTGCCCCATGACGGATCAGAACCTCACAAGTCCCGGTGCGGCCCCGGCCAGCAGCCTCATGCAAAGGTGTGAACTGGAGCTGTACAGGGAGGAAGGTCAGGGTCAGTAGGGATGGGTTCAACACGGACAACAGGTATCACGTGGGTAAGCTACAGTATGGGCTACATGTAAAGTTGTGTTAAGGAGGTTATAACCTGCTTGGTTGTGTACACCAACAAAAGTTCGTGAAACTCCTGTTATGGATCTCTCATACCTGATCTGATCAGGTATACTGTATGTCGTATTGACTTTATGCCACATTTATGCCTGTTTTCTTTATTATCTCCTTAGATATGTCTATTTATACCGTACGTCCGTACCTAATGAGTGCCTATTATAAATCAGCTAATGTTTGTATAATTGTCTCTGTACCATATTCATGCAATCTGTACGGTTCATATAAAACAAGTGTGTATTACCCAATTCCTGGCCGTCACGTCTGCCCCATGACGGATCAGAACCTCACAAGTCCCGGTGTGGCCCCGGCCAGCAGCCTCATGCAAAGGTGTGTACAGGAACTGTACAGGGGAGCAGGTCAGGGTCATTAGGGATGGGTTCAACACGGACAACAGGTATCACGTCGGTAAGCTACAGTATGGGCTGCATGTTAAGTTAAGTTCTGTATATCAACAAAAGTTCCTGAACCCCCTGCTATGGATCCGTCATACCTGATCAGTTACACTGTATATTATATTGATCGTTATGCCACATTCATGCCTGTTTCCTGTATTATCAAATTGATCTTTGTCTATTTATGTTGTACCTAATGAGTACCTAATCAGCTATAAAATATCTGTATTATTGTCTGTATCTCTGTTCCATATACACGTAATCTGTAGGGTCCAGTTGAAACAAGTGTGTATTACCCCACTGCTGGCCGTCACGTCTGCCCCATGACGAATCAGAAGCTCACAAGTCCCGGTGTCGCCCCCGCGAGCAGCCTCATGCAAAGGTGTGTACTGGTCCTGTACAGGGAGGAAGGTCAGGGTCAGTAGGGATGGGTTCAACACGGACAACAGGTATGACATGGGCAGGAAGCATTTAAGTTGGGGTTGGGTACATCAACAATAGGTTCTTAAAAGTCCTGGTATGGACCCACCATACCTAAAAAACCTAATACATACTAATTAGGTACGCTGCTTATTGTATCGATATTATGCCACATGTATTATTAATAAAACTTGAAACTTACTGTAGGCTAGTTTTGTACTACCTTATATTTGTTTATTCATACTGTGCCTAGTCAGTATGTTTATACCATTTCCTATATCTCTGTTTCAAATCCATGTAATCTGTAGGTCCAGTTGAAACAAGTGTGTATTACCTTATTCCTGGCCGTCACGTCTGCCCCATGACGAATCAGAAGCTCACAAATCCCGGTGCGGCCCCGGACAGCAGCCTCATGCAAAGGTGTGCGCTGGTCCTGTACAGGGAGGAAGGTCAGGGTCAGTAGGGATGGGTTCAACACGGACAACAGTTATCACGTGGGTAACAAGCAGTATGACGTGAAGTTCCGTCGATCACTAACAGGTTCCCGGATGTCCAGCTACGATCCCGCCATAGCCTGACTGGTCGATCGATCAATTTTAATTTTAATCAAAGAAGAAAAACAAAAAGAAGGCATGTGTGGCGCCAACCTGAAGTTAAGTCACTTATATTACAACACTAAAAAGAAAGTAAGGAAAGTAAGGAAAAAAGTATGAAGGAACAAACCTACGCAGAGGTCGAGTATTGACTGGATTGATGCTGATTAATTACAAGGAACGAAGGATAAATCAAGGTAACGAGTGTAAAGTGCAAGTGATCCACACTATATATAGTTACTACCACCTCACACATGTGTAACAGCATGTATATCAGAAGTGTGATTTCTGTAAGGTGACGAATAAACGAATGTAACGAATAAACGAATTTCTGTAACGAATAAAATGTAGTTGCGTTTCTGTTATGTGTGCAATAGAAAGTTGTGGGCAAAAGTTTCACTTTCAAACCTCACATGGAACCTACTTAGGATTTGTGTTTTATCTTCCTGACTTTTCTGACCCAGACTGAGTGGAGAAACTTGACACGGGAACCACGAGTCACCCTGTCAGGGTTCAGGTCCGAGGAGAAGTCAGGACTGAGTTATTTCTACTTACCCGGTCCCTCGCCTCCAGGTCGGCACCGTGTTCGATCAGCAATGCCGCCACTTCAGTCTGCCCGTGCCAGCTGGCCACATGCAGGGATGTCCGGTTAGGCTGGATAGAACAACAGTTGGGACGATAACTGGTTACAAAACGGCTGTGTAGGCCGTGCGTTTACTCAAAGTGACATATCCCGACAGTTTTTTTACCGGCAAGAAATATATACAAGTGTTGTTAGTTCTGCCCACTGCTTTATCAGAGCAATTTAACACCTTTAGTTTTATTGTAAAAACGGTTTGCAACAGTTTACGATCATTTAAACAGTAGGTGTTCATCGTGTTTTGCTTTTTTCAACATTTAAATGATACAGTACACAGCGGTGCCGCAAAGCTATTTAAGCCATTTGCCTATAAGCAAAATGGCTTATATCAACGGCGCCACTTAAAAAGAAATTGATAAATCTAACGAAATATGTAGCAGGAAAGTTAATGTCTGATAAAGATCCAGAGTTGGACAAACAAACAATAGTAATAAGGCTGGACTACGAGTCTGTAACCTTGCATGAACTAACAGTTTGCTTACAAAGCCCAGCCATCTCCTCTTGACCCTGAGGTCCACCCCAGCGTCCAGCCCCCTCCTCACAGTCTGCACGTCACCTTCCCGCACAGCCGTGTAGAACGTGTCCAGGTCCATCTCCTCACTACCTGCTGGGGTGACATGGAACAAACTAGGCTATGAACAACGTATTTAATCATTTTCATTAGTTTTCTTTTCTGGTGCAAATTCCTGACATTTTTTTCAGTTGTATTGGTTCTATATACAATGTTTATTGACACAACAATAGTACAAGAGCTTTTCTGATGTCTTTCACACAACGAATACAAGAAGAACTAGTACAAAGTTGTACGTGTTTACTGTTTAAATTTAGTTTCTGGTATCTAAACATTCATATTCAAGTACTTTCACCAGTTTTCACACTGTAAAGATGATTCCCTAAAACATTATTTGATTCGATAGGATAAAATGTATTCGTTCTTTTGGAGCGAACAGACGAAAGGCTTTCGGGTTGTAATTTATCAGGCCGGCGGCCAGTCGTGCGTAGTCTCCAAGCAGATAAAGACAGTATCAAATTGGCAAGAGGATAATGGCGAATTGATACTGTCTGGTCAATTTGTTACTGCTTTTGCTACCGTGCAGACATGTCAACGCAGACTGGCGGGTAAATATAAGAAAAGATTTGATTTCATAGGATTAAATATATTAGTTCTTTCAGAGCGAACAGAAGAAAGGCCTTGGGGTTATCGTCCTATTTCATAGGGCGGATTTGCAATTCATCAGGCAGGCGACCGGTCGTTCTTAATCCCCAAGCAGATCCTAGGGTGGCAAAAGACAGTATCAAATTGGCCAGAGGGGGTCCAATACGCCACACAAGGATCTGCAGAAAGTCACAAGCATCAATGCATCATAAACCAAACACATTACAGTCGTTCTACAAGTACGTGCGAACTGCGAAGCCCTTGGATGGCGTATTGGACCCTCTCTGGCCAATGGATACTGCCTTTTGCCACCCTAGGATCTGCTTGGAGATGAAGCCGTGCAGACAAGTCAACACAGACTGGCGGGTAAACATGATCAGGCCGCACCTTTGGACCGGCTGCCTTATCAACAGCGCCATTTGTTGCGTGTTTGTTTATTACGTATACACACGTTCTACCTGAAAGAACCCCGTGACTTACTAATTTATTTTTCTGTGGTCAACAACAAAATCTGAACGTGACAAAACACCATAGATGCAGAAAACGCCAGACTTCTTACCTTAATGAAGTATCATCCAAACTTCTCCGTTTTTAGGAACATGGAGAGGCAGGCATGTAGTTTTGCGACCCAACGTTAGAATTTTATCTTGCAATAGCAAGCTACAATACGTCTAATCAAAGAATCTGCGTCAACATGCTTTGATTATAATTTTACTACTTATACAAACTAACATTGAAGGTACTGAATATAAGCACCTCTAGCTCTAGTGATCGATGATCCACATGACAGTCCATTCTGTAATCAGATATCTTAATGGTTTATTACAATGCTGTGTAATGGGTTTGTGGGGGATGCACTATACTATATCGTTTATTATATGACTTAAAATAACTTTCTCAATATTGTTTTGCTTCTTTGTATGTGACATTCTTTTAAAACTTGAGTGCAACGCGTACGCTAGACTGTCCGAATGTTAAGTATAGCAAAAAAGGCAGGTATACATGTGTTTGTACCACTTATACATGGGTTGTTATAAACATTAATATCACTAAGAAATGTAAACGCAGATTTTTATAACGTTCAGCACCATACCTGCAGTCTCAGTTGATCAGACGGCCGTTCTGGAGTCCCTGTTGTCCGGTTTATGTCCTGTTGAGGTTGTTTATCAGCTAACCCGGACCAGGAGACCGGACAGACCCGGAGCCCAACATGGCGGCCGCCGCCGCGTCACGAGACACAAACAGGTGCGCCGGTTTGGGGACTTTGAACTTTTATCACCAGACGTGTGTTTGTCGTCCGCTTGGTGGTTAGTAAACTACGTCAGGGAGTTTGGCGGGAATTTCAAAACGCTCAGAGTCCGTCTGGGGCAAGGGAGATCAGGTACTAGCCTGCCTACCTGCCTATATGCAAAGGCCAAGTACTGGTCCCTTGCTCCCCTCCGTCAGGTACTTCCAGCCAGCTGTATCAAGGGCAATGGTCTCTACTTCACTTAGGGTAAGAGTACTAGTTAAAAACTAAAAAATAAGTTTCTGGTTCTTTCTGCAACTTTACGCCAAGATGAAACGCTGCTCTTAATGGTATTTTTCCACACCTCTGACTCAACAGGTCTTCGTTATGCAACAGGTGCGCCAGTTTGGGGACTTTGAACTTTTATCACCAGACGTGTGTTTGTCGTCCCCTTGGTTAGTAAACTACGTCAGGCAGTTTGGCGCGAATATCAAAACGTTTAGAGAGTCCGTCTGGGGCAAAGGAACGGTAGATCAGGCGGTTGGCAACTAAAAATAAGTTTCTGGCTCATTCTACAACGCCACGCCTAGACGGGAATATCAAAACGCTCAGAGTCCGTCTGGCGCAATTTTGCCGCGCAAAGTGACGGGACAACTAGTTGACAACTAAAAATAAGTTTCTGGTTCTTTCTGCAACTTTACGCCAAGATGAAACGCTGCTCTTAATGGTACTTTTCCATACCTCTGACTCAACAGGTCTTCGTTATGAAGCAGGTGCGCCGGTTTGGGGACTTTGAACCTTTATCACCAGACGTGCGTTTGTCGTCTGCTTGGTTACTTAACTACGTCAGGGAGTTTGGCGCGAATATCAAAACGCTCAGAACCCGTCTGGGGCAAAGTAACGGAAGATCAGGTGCTAGCCTGCCTACCTACCTGCCTATATGCACAGGCCAAGTACTAGTTTCTTGCTCCCCTCCGTCAGGTACTTTCAGCCAGCTGTATCAAGGGCAATAGTCTCTGCTTCTCTTAGGGTAAGAGTACTAATTAAAAAATAAGTTTCTGGTTCTTTCTGCAACTTTACGCCAAGATGAAACGCTGCTCTTAATGGTACTTTTCCATACCTCTGACTTAACAGGTCTTCGTTAAGAAACAGGTGCGCCAGTTTGGGGACTTTGAACTTTTATCACCAGACGTGTGTTTGTCGTCTGCTTGGTTAGTAAACTACGTCAGGGAGTTTGGCGCGAATTTCAAAACGCTCAGTCCGTCTGGCTGGCTCATTCTGAAACTTTACGCCAAGACGTAACGCTGCTCTTAACGGCACTTTTCCATACCTTTGACTCAACATACCTTCCTTATGGAAATTATTGCCAATTGAACAAACTACAAGACATTGTAATCACTTCTCTTGTGCAATAAAAAAAACTGCTAACCGTACTGCAGCTGATTTGCAAAACAAAGAAAATGTCGCTATATTTGACCAATTTGTACATCCGGAAAATGCCAGGGGAAAATCTATACGTACTTCTAGTACTTTGTCTCGTCCAGTTAAGGCGTTTAATTGTTTCGCTGCAGTTCTGGTAATTCTTTAATTGCCATTGAATTTATTTGGCGCAAGTGTTTCATCGCAAAATATCTTCAAACATGTGTTTATCAAAATCAAACTAACAAGGATGTCATTCAGGCAAGGTCTCTACAGAGTCCAGTAGACAATGGATCATCAACTTGTGCCTTCAGTTGATTCTGTATGGTGTCATACCTTGTCTAACAGTAAGCACTAATGAATATACATGGCACTCATGTAATAAAATGATAGCCTTTATTGAAAATGGTCCAGTGCAAAAGTGCACAGTGTCTCCTAATTTTGAACATTCGCAATATTGCACCTTAAAATTTACTGCTTCCAATATTGCACCTTAAAATTCATTGCTGACATCTGAAAATTTTAGATACATTTTGAGGAATAGAAAAATAGTTGGCCCTTCGATTCCACCCCTTTACTGCACATGGAACAGTCCGATGCTGTGAAATGCATACCCAGATTCCTACAGCATGGATGTTCCTTCAACCTTTACAATTTACTTGGGCCAGGAATTTTACATGATAATTCCATCTTCCAAATTACGAATATGTACAGTCAATATGCGCCAAAAGGCAGTTACTCAATCAATATGATTTTGGAATCATATCCAGTTGCTTGAGTAACTGCTTTGTGGCGTATCTTATTACCTGGATGTCTAACCTTCATCGACACAGTCAATATGAATACTATTTACATAATCTTATATTCTACATTGCACTCTGCAACAAATGGCCATCGGAAGTAATGTTAACTACGAACATTATTCGCATGATGTCATTTCACTGTGTCATTCCTGTATTTCTGTAAAGATGATTTTACATCCAATCAGCCCCCAAATGCCAGGAGGTTGATTCCGTCCTTTGTGACCATCAAATTTACCTGGCAGCAAAGCAGCAGATTGCAGAAGACTTCTATACAATGTAAGCAATAATGCCATAGACTATAAGCATTTTGTGTTGGTAACACGTCCCACTGTTCTATGGGAATATACCTGAATCAAATCATGTAAAGCTTGTGAGCAAGTTAAGCTTACTGTATTGCTATCTACCTAT